AAAAGCGAATATCCTGGGTCCACGAATAGGAGATATCCTGGGGTCCACGAAAAGCGAAATACCTGAGGGTCCACCATAGCGAGATATAACCTGAGGGTCCACGACTACGGATATAACCCGAGGGTCCCCGATATGCGAGATATACCTGGGTCCACGAATAGCGAGATATAACCTGAGGGCCCCCGACATAGCAAATTTTCCTGAGGACCACTAAAATAGAGAGGGAAAAATTAAAAAAACTGAGGGGCAAGACATGCGAATTGCCTGGGGTCCACGAATAGGAGATATCCTGAGGGTCCCGAATTTGCGGATATACCCCATGGTTCACGACAAAGCGGGGATATAACCTGAGGGCAAAGACTGCAGATATCCGGTCCACGACAAACAGATATAATGAGGTCCACACATGGGGAGATATAATGGGTCAAGCATAGCAGATATACCCGGGGTCCACAATGGGGTATAACCTGAGGCCAGACATAGGAAAATAACGGGGGTCCCCCCGCAACCAGTATAACCTGAGGGTCCCGACATAGCGGTATAACCCCAAAGGGATTTAACGGGGGCCAATACAGTATAAACCGAGGGTTCAGACTGAAAATATAACCTGATTTTCCCCGAATAGGAGAATTTTAAATGGGGGGTCCCCGACATGCGAGATATTTCGAAATCCCGAAAAAGGGAGATTACTGAGGGAGCAACGGGAAAAAACCCAGAAAATAACCTGAGGATCCACGCATTTGCTAGATATAAACCCGAGGGGCCCCGACTAGAGATTAACCGGGGTCCCCGAATAGCAGAATAACCCCAGGGCACGACTAGCAGATATAACCCGAGGGTCAAAGCATAGAGAAAATTACGGGGTCCACGACATAGCAGATATAACCTGAGGGGCCAGACATAGAGATTACTTTAGGGTCCCGACATGCAGATATAACCAGGGTCACGCATGCGATAAACCTGAGGGTCCCGACTAGCTAGATAAATTTAGGGTCCACGACATAGTAGATATAAACCCGAGGGTCCCCGACATAGTAGATATAATCTGAGGGTCCACGACATAGCAGATATAATCCTGAGGGTCACGACATAGCTGATATAATCGAGGGTCCACAATGCTGTTAATCCTGAGGGTCCCCGACCCTTTTGAAAATTTTAATTTTGATATAATCCTGAGGGTCCAGACAAGCTAGAATAATCCTGAGGGTCCACGACATAGCTGATTAAACTAGGGTCCCCCGACATAGCTAGTAAATCCCGAGGGTCCACGACAAGTAGTTTTAATCCTGAGGGTCCACGACATAGCTAGATTAATCCTGGGGTCCACGAATAGCTAGTATAATCCCGAGGGTCCACGACATAGGTAGATAAATCCTGGGGTCCAGACTAGTGATTAAAACCTGAGGGTCCCCCGATGTAATATAATCCTGAGGGTCCCGAATGTAGATTAATCCCGGGGTCCCGACATAGCTAGATATAATCCTGAGGGTCCCCGACATGTTGATATAACTTGAAAAGGGAAAAATTGGGGGAGGGGGAAAAAATTTTTGGTTAAATTTTTTTTTTTTTTTTTTTGGGGGGGGGGGGGGGGGCACCATAGCGACTTACTCTACCTATGCCACACATCACTTTGACCACACATCACTATGACCCCCACCTCATAGACCACCTCCAGCCCCATCATATGCCACCTCACTTGACCCAAATCCTATGACCCATCATTGAACCATCACTATGACCGCACCCCCTATGACCACACATCATTGAAAACATCACTATGACCACACCACTATGACCGCACCCATATGACCACACATCACTAGACCACCATCACTATGCCCACATACTATGACCCCACCCCCACTTGCCACACCCCCCTATGACCACCCAAACACATACCCACCCCACTAGACCCCATTTTACTTGACCAACCTAAAATATACCACCCTCACTATGACCCCACCTCACTATGACCACACCCCACTTTTCCACCCCTCCTTTTACCAACCTCACTATGACCCCCACCTCCAAAGGCCACACCCCACTATGACCACTTAATCTATGACAAGGATAGCTAAAAAAAACATTGTGATTAGTGAGTTTGTGGTGTGTGTGTGTGTGTGTGTTGTGTGTGTTGTTTGGTGTGTGTGGTGGTGTGTGTGTGTGTGTACACAAACCCATCACACACACCCCAAAAAACACACACACTCACACAAGGCACACCACATTTAAAAAACACCACACACCACCACACAGACCACCCCAGACACACACAGACCCCCACACACCCCCACAAGTCAACACACCCCAAAATACCACACCAAAACACAAACACCACCACAGACAAACACCACACACACACAATTTTTATATATATACACACAATACACACCAAACACATACACACACCACCAAACAATACCCCAACCCAAAGGGGGTTGGGGGTCAGGTCCAAGAATTTTTGGGAGCCCCCGGACCACTGAGACTTCTTACAACGCACAAGCCACCCCAAATTTCGTACATAATAAACCACACTTTAAATTCCCCAAAAAATTTCCCCACAAAATTTTCCCCAAACCCCAAAAACCCCCACCACACACACACACACACCACACACCACACTTCCATATCCAGACTCCCATACACTCCCCCTCCCCCACGAAAACTCATACTTCCCTGATCCCCCCTCCCCCGAATCACCCTCCCCCCCCCGTTCCCCTAAACCCCCCCCACCCCCCCCAATCCTCTCCCCAAAAAGCCACAGTTCCCCCAACTCTGACTTTTCACACTACAAACCCAACATACAGAAAATCTGGTTTCCCCCTCTGAGGCAATCAGGATAAAAAAAAAATGGGTTGCCAGAGATCAACAAGAAAAACCCAAGGGACAGGAGGGGGGAAACTGCAAAGGGAAAATTTGGGGAGCAGGTCATAAAAAAGGGGGCTGATTTGGGGAAAAAAAACTAGAAGAATTAGCATGAGAATGGAAGAGGGATGATTGGGAAAACAGGAAGTGGGAGGTGCAGTCAAAGCAGCAGAAGTTAGGGTACAGGTTTGAAAAGGAAATTTAAAAAAACTGAAACAGCCCAAAAAACTAAAAATTTTGGGAAAATTTCAAAAGGCGTACCTCAGCCACAAATAAGGGGGTGTGGGGAAAAAAGGGGGACAACGCATGGAAAGCTCTATCAGAGGAGGACTGTAGCAAGTGAAAGACGCTAAGCTTTATGTGGAGGCCCTACAGACAACAAACAGAGCTCCTAAGGAAAGCCGAGAAGGGGATAAAATGACAGGCCACTGAGCCCAAGTACATTAGCAGTGAAACTTATGAAAGGAGCTGCAGTGGAGGAAAACCAAATTAAATGAGGGGATACAAGGGATATGCAGTGGGGAGACGAGAATGAAAGGGTGAGGTCAGTCTTTGTGTATGGGCTACAAGGAAGTTGAAGGGGAAACATATGAAGCAAGAAAAAAGGGGAACAAAAAGCAATTGAACAGCATCATGAAAGCAATGGAGGGAAGACGACATGACCCAGCTGGAAAATTTTCGGTAGAATAGGGGGGTTTGTGAAAAAAAAGAACCCGGCAGTGAGAGTGACCTTCAAGGCAGGAGAAAGAAGCGACTAAGAGGACCAGGACCTGCAGGATGAAAGCACGATTAAGAGACATGCGGGATACAGGAAGGTGTATCTCGACCGTGACAGAAACACAGAAGAAAGGCAAAGAAACTGAGAGAAGATGGTACAAAGGCGATAGGAGGAAAGAGAAGTGGATGGAGAGAAAGACGACAGAAGATCCCAGACCCAGGAAGAAGATCAAATACAGCCTCCCTCACAACTTCCTATAGAAGCCTCCCAAGATAACACCGCATAAGTGTTCGCGATAAAATTACAGAATTCTTGGCTTCATAAAAGAGTATTAAATAATGGAAGTCCTCAGGTTGTTCTTCAATTCCATATATCTTTGGTTAGGCTTCATTTAGATTATGCTGCGCAGTTTTGGTCACCTGAATCTGCACTCTCCAGAAAGGCGTAGAATTAGGGTGTGTATAAATGGAAAAGGAAATTAATAAAGTGGATGTAACAGACTGCCTAAAAAATATCTAACAAGACGGACTCGCCAGCAATGGTTTTAAACTGGAAAAATTCAGATTCAGGTGGAAAGCACTGTTTGGATGAGTGGAACAAATTCATGAGTACTATCATAGAAGGTTAAGACTTGTTGTAGTTTTAAAAAATAGTTGGATAAGTATTGAGTGGGTGTGGGTGGGTGCAGAGTAGGACCTGACTAGCTTGTGTACATAGGTCGGATTGCGTGCTCCTCACTAGGGTCAAGGCATTGGCTTAAGCTGGTGGGAGAGAGAATTGGCCCTGCATCGCACAGTGCCAGTAGGCCTGTTGCAGTGTTCCTCCTTTTTTATGTTATGTTATTATTTACTTTGCTTATTTAATTAGTGATCTTTCCCCACCCCACCCTCATGTACAATGATACATAGCAATTTTGATTGCTTTCTGTGTGATAGGTGGAGACAAGTTCATCAGCTAACTTTCAAATATTTAAATAAATCGTTTATCATACTTGATTGTAACCATTGTTATTTTCAACTAATTCCATTATTTTGCCATTATGCTGAGTGGTGGGCTCTTGATCCAGGTAACTGGGACTTTATGTCCCATAGCTTTTTTCGAATTGAAAAATAACCCATTAATGCCATTGAGTCTGTTCAATTCCTACAGAATTAAATTTCCACTGCTTTAAATATAAAAATTGTTAAAAATGCATCAATCTTTCCATGATGCATTGCATGAAATAGATGGAAACGTTGCATATTTTGGATTTGTTGCAATAACTGGAAATGCTTTCTTCTTGTCAACATTAGTGTCGATGTGTCTGTTTGAAATAACTGGAGAATGTCTCTTCTGATTAAAAATGAGTCGCAGTGTCTAACCAGATATGGTTAAATCAACTTATTGTTTTTTTCAAGTGTCTGTAACATTGATGCGCCATAAACTAATTTACTGTTTATGGTGAGGACCTGGGGTTTGGAGTTACTAGATGTTTGTGTACATCCAGTTGTTTTGGTGCTTTCTTTAGTTTCTTTAGTTTAGTTTTAGTGAGGTGTGGATCATGGTGAGGTGTGGATCATGGTGAGGTGTGGATCATGGTGAGGTGTGGATCATGGTGAGGTGTGGTCATAGTTAGGTGTGGTAATAGTCAGGTGTGGTTCATGGTTTATGTTTCCGGGTGGTTGGATGGGCGGGTGTGATCATGGTCAGGTGTGGTTTGTTTCCAGGTCTCCATCCGTGGGCCCCCGGATGTCAACCTTTCCAGAAGTCCAGAAGTCCATCTGTGTCCCCTCAGATGAATTCCCAGGTGTGGATCATGGATCGTAGATGTGATCATAGGTGGAGGTCATAGTCAGGTCTGATCATAGGTGAGGTCATAGTGAGGTGTGGTCATAGTCACGTGTGATTTATGTTTACGGATATTTTGGCCGCTTTCCTAGTTCCGTGTGTCCAGAAGTCCACCTGTGTCCCCTCAAATGAACTCCCTTCCTCACTTTCCCAGGTGGGCGGGTGGCTTGTTGTGTAGGTGGGTGGTTGGGTGGGTGGGTTTATGGGGTGGGCGGGTGTGTCTGTGTGTGTGTGATCATGGTGTGGTGTGGTCATAGTCAGGTGTGGTTTATGTTTCCAGGTCTCCAGCCGTGGCCCAGCCCCCAGAAGTCAACCCTTCCACATTTCCCACTCCCGGTTGTTTTGGTGCTTTCCCTAGTTCCGTGTGTCCAGAAGTCCACCTGTGTCCCCTCAGATGAACTCCCTTCCTCACTTTCCCAGGTGGGTGGGTGGCTGGGTGGGTTGTTGGGTGGGTGGGTTGGATGGGCGGGTGTGTGTGTGATCATGGTGGGGTGTGGTCATAGTCAGGTGTGGTTTATGTTTCCAGGTCTCCAGCCGTGGGCCCCCAGATGTCAACCCTTCCACATTTTCCACTCCCGGTTGTCTTGGTGCTTTCCCTAGTTCCGTGTGTCCAGAAGTCCACCTGTGTCCCCTCAGATGAACTCCCTTCCTCACTTTCCCAGGTGGGCGGGCGTGGTTGGGTTGTTGGGTGGGTGGGGGTGCGTGGATGTTGGGTGAACGTGGGTTGTTTGCGTGGGCGGTTGGTTGGGTTGACGGGTGTGTGTGTGTGTGTGTGTGTGTGTGTGTTGGCCCCTCCCCAGTAACCTTGTTGGATGGTTATCTTGGGTCTTGTCTAGCTGGCCTACTGCCGAGACTGTCCAGAGTGGGTGGTAAATACAGGAGGCGGGACCACAGAAAAATGCGTCATGTTAATTACATCCACCAAGACAGCCTGTAGGAACAGCAGACCGCCAGACAAGACCAAGCTGTACCCAACACGGCCACAACGTGAGGTTACTTAGTGATAATCTCGGACTTCTATTTAAGTTTCATTAAGTGTAAAGTTGATTTTTTTGTTTTGTTTCAATATAATGCTAGCTTTATAAGTGTACCTGTGAATGTTTTATCGTGTATATAAGTGTGTCCGTGTGTCATTCTGTCTTCCCACCATGAAATCTGCTAACCAAAAAGTTATCAGCTTTTATGTGGCTAAAAAACATCCATTTTCCTATATGAAAGACACTGAAACTTCCAAGTACACAAGTACATTCACACACACACACACACACACACACACACACACACACGATAACCACGACACATGTATTTCTCTCGTTCCCTCTATATCTATAATATCTTTTGCGGAGGCAATAAACCGAAATAAGAATTCTTTAGCCTAAGTTCTTTGAATTTTTTGGGGGAAAAAACAAAAAATTTGTACTTTCCTACAATCTTCACAACGTGTCTCCCAATAATGGTATTTATGTTTCCCAAAAAAATTATGTTGACTCAAAAATCCCAAAAAGTTTTCACTTAACAATTTCTCGGATCATCACTCTCTCATCCACACTAAAATATCTCATTAATAAGTCGACTTTCACGTAGTCTAGATTTGTGCTAGACAGGTTATACAATACGAAGATGAAAATTAAGACATTGTGCATCATCTGGTTATCTTTATTGTAGACGTTTCGCCATCCAGTGGCTTTATCAATACAGATTCTAGGACATAATTTGAAGACAGAAGAACTATATACAAAAGATGAGGTAATCAGTCCCTCATCCTTGGAGGTGGTGTTTACAACACCGTGGTTGTAGAGATTCTGAAGCACAGGTAAGGAGACTGGCGCTTATATGGCGTCTGTGAAATAGGGGAGCCGTAGCAGACGAGGGCATAGTCACTGGTAGGCGGGATTCCCCAGTGGAAGTAGGTCCTTCCCAAATTGATGGGCTAGTTGTCGAAGTCGTGAAGAAGGTCAAGTAGATGTCCTCTAAATCAAGATACCATGATGTTGCAGTGCCTGACAAGTTGTGCAAGAAAGGTATACAATACCGACAAGATGAAAGTTAAGACACTTGTGCAACAATTGGTATCTTCAGTGTAGACGTTTCGCCATCTCAGTGGCTTTTATCAATACGATTCTTGGACATAATTGAAAACAGAGAAAAACTATATACAATTATGCACAACCTGTCAGGCACTGCTTTATCAAACATAGTTGTTGCTAGAGCATTTACGCATTCCGCCCACTTTCCAGGTATATAAAGAATAACATATGAACATCACAACACAAAATATACTGTGGTATGTGAATTTATAAGTACATCACAATATAAAGTAGTATCGAAAACATTAAAAATGCTGTAATTTCAGACTCGGGGAACGATCATCCATGAATGATGCTACAGTGTCTCTTCCGCCCATCCACCCTAATCTCTCTCTCTCTCCTCTCTCTTCTCTCTCTCTCTCTCTCTAATCTTCGCTCTTTCTCTCGCCAGTCTCTCGGTCCTCCGCGTTTGCGCAATAGCTAGAGGGAGCTTCAAACCCGGGTTATTGAGGATTATATATTATGGACTTGGAAATCTGTTGACCCACGGGTAATGGATACGAGAGTTTTATTAACGTAGGAGTTCTGACGCAGAGGCAGTGTACATTAAGCTATGATACTGAGGGATTGAACTGGAAAACTTAGAGGACAGGGAAATGTGAACACAGAGAAGCAATGTGCACGAGAATGTGAGCTCAATGCAAATTATAACTGTTACAGATTTGCAGATGGAATGATTGCAGAGTAGGTGGAAGAGGAAGAATTCAAATACCTTTTGAACGTAAACGGATCATATAAAATCTCCTTTCGGCGCTGGAGGATTAGGAGGAGAGTGATGTACCAGGCAGTGTTACATGGTTTTAAAGAATGTTGACGATGTCTTGGATCATCATCCCAGACGCCTCAACACTGTACAACTCTTTAAACAACATAGAATCTTCCATTAAGTTCTCTGTTGAAGGAGGAAGATACTGGAGTTCTTGGTATAAATAAACCAACTAGCAAAGAACGACCTTTTTGCATCAGTTATATTCGCAGTTATATTCGCAACGCTTTCTCCAATCTATATTATCCTCCCCTTTTATTACTGACTATAGGATAAAGGCAGAAAAGATCACTATTGCGCTTGTCACAACGCACCACGAAGAGATTTCATCGTCCTTGTTTGGTAACCAATCCGTTTTGAACATATAACATAATATGTTTAACGAGTGATACGAAAACAGCAGAGACATATTCCCCTATGGGTCGTCTGACTAAATTTGTTGGACAATCTTCAAGAAGTACCACACATAAGAAACTTTGAACATGATACGTTTGCCAGAGAAAAGCCTTGAACAATCCTTGTGCTATTCATCGAAACTCCTGTGGACATTTCATGGACTTTCAGAATGCTACATTAGTCATCAGGAAGTCCGTTCGTCGCAGCAGACGGTGTTGAAAGTTCTCTCTCATCACTACTAGCACCACCTTAACTCAACAATATAGAAGGAGAATCATTAATATCTAAAATGTTAGCATGATGCTAAATTTACCGGAAGGCAGAACACAGCCATCGCCCAGCTCCGTCCATTTCCTTCCTCTCAACGTACCTTGCACTACGGTGACCTGACCTCCGCCACTATATAAACTCACTGAAGAATCCATTAGTGGAGAGGCCATATCCTCAAATAGTTGCATATTCAGTCCTGCTCGATCTGATCAATGTATCCAAGTATTCCATAACCCCAGTCCACTGTGCCTCAGTGCAAGCCATTGGAAAAGTGCAGAGTGCTGCATAGGTTGATAACGCATTTAGATATTAGAATTATATATTTGAGGTGAATCAGAGAGGCATTTCCAAGTCATGTATGAAAATAAAAATCAAACTTTCTTTAATAAAAATGGTAAATTATAGGCAATATGCAGCCCAAATTTATTCATACCTTTAAGAGGACCAATATCCATAAAATACACTATCACTTTAATCTTCAAGAGAAATATAAAGTTATCGGTATGGAAGGTCTGAAGTGAGTCAGATGCAACACTCAGAAATTATCCCTCGAAAAACACAATTTCACCTTATTAAATATTTCTTCCATAAAAGCACCTTTTAAGGAAGTACAGTAAGCAAGTAAGTTTTAAGTTGGGCTTAGTCCATAAATACAAGTTTTTATAATGGCTAGCTGTTATAGCCATGTATAAAAGTACATAATATTAATTTTAAATTAGGGGACGAAAAAGTAAATTATCTCACAAACTAATTTTATTAATAAAATCGGAACCTTCTACTAACCTTAACTTCAGTTCTACTAACCTACCTCAACAGATTGCTTCCTCTGAGGAAAACACATCAGGACTAAAAGTTTAAAGATCGCCACTGAAGATTGATGATGCCTTTCCTAATTTCTACATGTAAGTCAAGAACAATGCTTAACGCGCCTCTGGAATAGTAGGCATTTAAATTCCAATCAAGAAAAAGAAAGAAGAGTCCAGTTTGGGTTAAGAACCCCTCACCAGTGTCAAGGGTTAGGTTAGGTAAGGTTCGTCAGGAAAACCAGACAAAGTGTTTCCTGACGCGGGTCTTCGGATGATGACCCGCTGTTTGGAGCTTTTGGTTCATTGACCGAGTGCCTTCTGCTGGCTTACCGGTCCACCCCTTTAAATATTATGGTAGTGTCATGGAAAATAATGTAATCCTGTAAAGTAATTCTAAAACCATTTTGAGAAGAATAGTTGTGGTACAAGCAGCTATCCATTCCTGGGGTTTAATCCGAGTGGGAATCTGTAACAAGTGGCGTTCCACAGCGGATCGTCTTGGGGCCCGTTTGCTGTTTATAATATATTCAATGTCTTGATGATGGGAATTACTAGTCGATATGAGCAAATTCGCGATGACACAAAGATATAGGTTAGGATAACTGATTCAAACGTAGATGTTATGGAACTTCAGGAGGATTTAAAAACAAACTTACTCTTGGTCAGAAAAGTGGAAGATGCAAGTTCACTGTAGATAAATGAAGGTTTCGATGCTTGGGCACGTGCCCATACCCTAGTTTACTTGTAGTTAAATGATGTAGAACTTAGCCATACAAGATTGCGAATAGGATTGGGGGTTATGGTGGCAGCAACCTTAAACCAAGACAACAATGCCTAAGCATACGTAATAAGGCAAATCGATATGGGTTACTATCAAGAAGTGTAAGCAAAGAAGTCCAGAGGTCATAACTGCGCTTTATACTCATTAGTACGGCTCACTAGATTATGCGCTCAGTTCTGGTCTCCATATTTCCAGAATGGACATAAATTCGTAGAAAACATCAGGTAGGATGACTAAATTAATACATAGCATTAGAAATCTTCCTTATGAAGAAAGATTGAAGACTCTTAAGTTACATTCTCTTTGTTAGAAGAAGAATGAGGGGAGACCTGATGGAAGTGTATAAGTGGAAGATTGGTATTAATAAAGGGGATATTAATAAGGTCTTAGAGGATGCTCTCCAAGAGAGAACCGAGTAATGGAATTGTAAATTAGATAACGTTTAGATTTAGAAAGGACATAGGAATAGTATTGGTTTGGGAAATAGGGTAGTAGATGAGTAGGAACAGTCTACCTAGTTGG